ACCGATAAAACGTAAACAAACCAAAAATGACAACTTGTAGCCAATATTTTTGCCTGTGGTGGTAGGAGTATTTGTGTAACAAAACTGGTCAAATGTCATATTTACCAACTTTGATAAAAAAATTAAGGAAGCTTACGAGGTTTACATGGTTACGAGGCATTTACGCGTTTATATGAATTGCCCTATTATGTCTTAAGCTATATAACCGAGCTATCAATGGGCAGTCATACAAGTTCCCACTTCTACTTGACCTTTGACGTACGTCAAAGAGAACATATCGAGCCCTAACCGCCAAATTAACGTACGCGACATTTTTTTCAAAATGAGGATTTAGATGCATTTCTGCATCAAAAAGAAGATTTTGAAAAAAATGGCGCTTACGTTATTTTGGCGGTTAGGGCTCGATATGTAGTCCTCTTAACAATATATATTTTTTTGTTTCCTGTGCTCTAAATACCTGCATTGGTTTCTTTCTTTACATTGGATCCTTGGCAAAAAACTTGTGTGTTAAAAATCCCCCTAGTCCCCCTACGTCTCCCTTCTTTGCTATTTAAATTCAAAGAGTAAGCTCCTTCTATATGGATATCCAGCAGAAATGATCAACGTCTGGCTATAAAGAGAATCGCTATAGGTCTGACCTTTAATAAGGTAAGAATTACGTAACTATCTGAGACCCTCATCATCCGTTATTCCAATGCTTATTCAAATGCTTATAAAAAAACGGGGTGCTTTAAAAAAAATAACAATATTCTGATCCGATTCGGCTGGCAGCCACGACTTTTAAAACAGAATTTTGTTCAAGATTTGCGTTCCATACCCACCTATTTAGCTGGCTATAAGCACAAATTTTTCAAACCAGTCGCAGAAGAAAGTATTAAACATGAATTACAAAAACTAAAATCAAAAAACGCTGATGAATTCCCCAAATTCAGAAACAGCCAAAGGAATAAGAATGATGAATCCTTTTTAAAACGCTTTAGAAAAACCTGGCACATCTGGTTTGGCTTGTAAGCGCTGTTTAAACCACGATCTAGCCATTATGCTAGATTCTAATTGGTTCATAAAAATACTCGACATCCGCATTCGCATCCGCGGATGTCTAAAATTCCACATTCGCAACATCCCTAATACACCCCTATACATGCATTTTGCACTGCGTGCTTTATGTTTGCATGCAACCTCAATTTGTTTAAGTAGTGCGAGTATCTCACTGAATACCTACTTAAGACCTGTCATATGTTTACTTACTTATGTTTAATACACTTATTTGTTGTTGTTTTTACTATTGCCATAAAAAAGTTTGATGTAATTTGTTTCGAGTATATTACTTTCTTATTTTCTTGTCGGCTGTCCTTGTCGTGGGCATTTTGTGCAGTACACATTGGTACGTCTGTGTGGGCAAGTAGAGTATGTATTTGAGAATATTAAGTTTAGCCCTCGCAGTTAAGCCCAGTTTACTTTCGTATGGCAAACGTTCTTTAAAAGTGTTTTAACTCAAACTTCCCGTTTATCAGTAAACGCAAACATTATTTATGAACTTATGTTAATTACATGGGAAAGATGGTTTATTTTTCAACAAGTTACAAAAACTGATTTAACTTATCTATGTTAACATATTTAGCGCATAATAATAGAAATGGCAAATTTTGAGTTAATACACTTTTGAAGAACCTGTGCGGTATGTCATTTCTTGTCAGGTCGAAAACGAGCCTATGTGCTCCGTCATGTACATGCTTAGATATCCAGATATCCTTGCAGTATGTGTGAATGTTGTAATTTTTGCCGTATCTAGTCCTTTGCGGCATTATTAGGTTTTTTTTTTTATTTTTTCTTGTTTCTCTGGTTTGTTGCGGCGCCGTTGTTGGCACCATTGAGCCACAGATTCGCTCATTTCAGCTAAAATTTCTTTATTACAGTCATCGTCGACACTTGAAGAGAGAAGAGAATAAAGGAAGTAAACTCGGGGTTTAGATGAGTGCTGTATTTATGCATTTAGTTGGAGAATATGGGGTTTCGTTTGGTGGCAGTGTTGACTTTGCAATGAATTGATAATAATGGAGAAAATAAGTAATGTAGATGAAATTGGTAAACACCTGCCAAAATTGTTTACGCAGCGGAGTGATAACAGTTGGGTTCTATTTTATATATACTATTTGTCTGCATTAGCAAGCAAATCATTTACTAATATTCTAAAGCCGGGGAAGTTGGTCAATTTGGATTCTCCAAGCAATTGTTTCTTGGAACTCTTAGTAAAATTTATATTACATGCAGACATAGGTATGCATGTACATATTTCTACATTAATAAAGAAATACCCTATCTAACATTTTTGTTTTTTTTTACAGAGTAGTGAAAAATAGGGATGGCAGCGATTAATCATTTGAATAAATAATCGATTATTTTTGTCCAATTAGTAGTTTTGTGTTTCATTAATCAATTAATTGTAAAATAATCGTAAAAATATTTTCAAGAAATACGAGTTCTGTAGATGTCTAAAATATCAAACAGCCGCAAGAATTGCTCAAGTTCAGAGCATACAATGGTGTAAATAAAGTTTCTGTATGATCTTTTTGGTGAGGATAAATATTTTTTCAGTAAGAAAATTTGTTTTAATAATTTTTTTTTTATGTCTAGAATGTACGCGACTATGTAAACCTATCCGCTAGCCTGAGTAGACGCAGACAAAAAAGTAAATTAAAACATTAGTTTCTGTACTTAAAGTCAAACTACTAATTTTCGTAAATGCATATACCCTGCAAACCAAAGTTCCCGAAATCTTAAGGAAATCGTTAGGAGTATCTCATTTCTGTAACGATTTTTTTACGAATCTTCAAAGAAAATTATATGAAGGGGTTGACACGAACTCGTAAAGAAATTTCTGTACGAAAAATAAAGAAAATTCTGGAAAAATTCTGAAAGATATTCTTCACATAGCAGCATTATTTTCGTTGCTTCACAGATTTTCTTCCGAAATTTCGTAAAAGAATGGAAAGGTGCGTAATTTATTTCATTTTAGAAAATTCGGCAAAAAATCGAATTAAATCTTAACGAATTCTTTAAAATTTCTTTACAATGCAGAATACTCTGAAAAAATGGTTTGCAGGGTATATATACGTATGTATGAATGTATATTTTAAAGAATATTAAATATTAATATCTTAAAACAGGGACCAAGAGCAAAATGTATGATCGAAACTAAATGTCGTTCTCGAAGTTTTGTTCCCAAAACCAAAAGGATAACAAAACTGACGAGAACGTTCTCACTGGCAATTATATAAGAACAAAACCCTATGGAACGTTCCCAGAGAGAACTAAATGCGAACAATACTTTCGGGAACATTTCTAGGAGAACAAAATGCTAACAAAAAAACGGGAGCAAAATTCTAAGGAACTTTCTCTCGAAGAACAATTTGGGAGCTAAAGTCCCAGAAACTTTCTTACAGAGAAGGAAAAAGGAACAAAACTTCTCTGAACTATGACTTTGAAATGTTTGAATATTAGAGTTAATCAAAAAAGAACTGAAAGATAGTTATGCAAATAAAGTTAACGAAAGACTTAAGGAACGAACTTTTCTTTCACAGAAAATGAAAAATTGTTCCATACATGGACAGTTAACTATAATGATAAGCGATCTAGAAGTTGAAATGATCCAGCTTTCCTCTGGCTTAGAATTAATATCCGTGATTCTCACTGAAAGACTTTTCCACCGAATACGCAGGCGCCCCTCTCATTCTTAAAGTAAAGTTTTCAAAACTTTTGTTCTCGCCTTGTTCCCTAGCATAGGCGTTCTTAAACTTTTAAGATGATGGAACCCTTACTAAACACCATTCATTTTAAGGAACCCCACATCAAATTACTAAAAATCAAAGGCAGTGCAATTTATATATGAATAAAAACTTTTACTAGAAATAGTATACATACTTTAAATTTTCATGTAAAGAAGGAAATTCTTTCACTGTTATTACTTAATTATTATATAAAATAGTATTTCGGTATAATGTCTGAAAGCTGTGTGCGCATTTCTGGGGTAGCATCTAATTTCGACCTGAATTGGTTTTTTGTATAAGTGTAAGCTGAAAATTCTGTTGACAGAGTACGTTGTGCAGTGGCGGATTTATCGTACAGGCAACATAGGCTGAAGCCTAGGGCGGTAGAATTAAGGGGCGGCAAAATTTAAGACAGCTAAATTAAAAGAAAAAAATTTATTTGGATTCAGCTGCACTTGAAATTGTGTTTGTGTCTGTAAAATATTATTAATGATTCATCTCATTCAATACAATTCAAAATTAGAATTACGCTGCAAATTTTTCCTTAGTATAGCAGTCGTTGAAATTTCCATTTAACTTTCATTCACGCGGCTTAGAAACCTGACGGCGCGCCTGCGCGTGACGCAAAGAAACAGCCGACACGCTGCCCCGAGAACGAGAATCATCTAAAAGGTTACCACACTTGACAACACTGCCGAAAAACGAGCGTGCATTTTCGAGAAAATTCTTGATTCCAAGCCCACCAGTTTTTCATAAGTGTATCATAACGTGAATAATCTGAAGGTCAGCTTCCGTCGTATGTCAAATTAGGCAGTGTATCTGTGTATGGTCTTCTGTTTGTCTTGCGCGAGGTCAAAAAATCTTCCGGATGAGCGATTTTATTTTGTATACTCGCATAGCGCTACTTCAATGTCCTGATAATTGGATTCTACTTGTCCAAACCTCTAAAGCATTTCAGTGCAGAATACATCGTGTTTTACAGATGCATGTACCCGATGAATGTTACGAAATAAGGTATGCTTGCGTGATTTCATAGAAGTATTTTTCTTATAACTACCTGAAATGTAAACAAACATTCAGCAAGGTTAAGCGGACATCACCAAACTCTCTAATTCGTTTGATATTTCTCTACAAAACTTTGCAGCATGCATGAAGTGAGCTCAATTATTCAATATTTGAATTTTTCTAGATCGAAATGAGAATAAGCGATATTGCAACGTTTATTTACTAATTATGGCTGACGGATGCATGAGACTTAGTGGAGCTGGCTATCGAAAAAGAGCATTAGAACAAGATGAAGGACATGCAACTCGAACGCTTGAATTATTTTACACAGAGACTATTGCAGCATTAGTAGCAATTGAAGAAGACCCACATGAAAAAGCAATTACAAGGAACGAAGCTACAGGAATACGTATTCAACTAGAACTTTTGGAGACTGCATTTATGCAAGGTTTATGGAGCTTCTTATTGACATCATTCAATGCAGTCAGCAAGAAATTGCAAAATGTGAATACGACTATTTCTGAAGTGATCTCTTTGTTCAACGGACTCGTTAAAGTTGTGTCTGACACTCGCGAAGAATTCGATCAATATGAAGAGAAAGCTCTCTCTATTTCTACAATTCAGGAATACAAAACACTCAGGCAGCGTCGAAGGAATCAGAATCTACAACCTGGTGAAAATAGGGACAATAGTATCCAATTGAGTGGCCGAGACAACTTTCGTGTCAACACATTCAACGTTATCTTGGACCGTACTTTGACAGAATTGACACGGAGACGTGAGGCGTATCAAAAAATCTATTCGAAATTTTCTCTCATCACTGATATGAAACATCTGAGCAACGAAGAATTACGTGAAAAATCCATCATATTGAGCCAATACTACACCCAAGATCTTAAGGAAAATTTGGGAAATGAAATGGTCTTTTTCAAGGCATACTGCACCGAAAAGAAGATTTTAAATTATTCTCCTCTGGAACTGTTGAAAATGCTGAGACAGGATAATCTGCAGATCTCTTACCCTAATCTTGAAATTGCGTTGCGGATGTTTCTTTCAATTCCTATTTCCAATTGTAGCGCAGAAAGATCGTTTTCTGTTTTAAAACGCGTGAAAAACTATCTCAGATCTTCATTGAGCGAAAACAAACTGAATGCTCTTGCGTTGCTGACTATAGAGTCAGATTTGTTTTTATCTATCGATTGTGAAGATATTATCCGCGAATTCGCAGCTGAAAAATCAAGACGTAAAGAACTGTGAAAAAGAAGTGTTTGAAAGAGGGTTTTTGTTGAATACCTTATCCATGCTGATGTCGAATTTGTTGATTCCGTTATGTATTTCATTATTAACGAACTATATTGTAATAAAGCACTGACAATAACAATCATATTTGATATATATATATTTTTTTTTTTTCGTGAAAAAAAGGGCGGCAAGTTATGAATTGCCTAGGGGCGGCAAATATTTAAATCCGCCACTGACGTTGTGGCAGCAGGAAGCAAAATTAAGATGGCCTTTTTTAGCGACTTCATGATATTTACTCTTAATACTATCCCAAGACTCTTTCAGAGACACAGATTCAAATGTGTGTTTCAATGTCCAAGTACTCTAAAAATCTACACTGAGGGAAAAAAATATTAAAATCAAATAGAAACGTAATTGATCGTACTATACACGTCAACGAAAGTACTGTATATTGGTAAATATTCAATTCAACTACGCGCATTTTAAAATGACCGCGTTCGTACTGAAAGAGCATCCGTGAAGTGAATAATCAAGACAAAAACTAAAAAAAAAATTTAACTTGCATGTTTTGCTTGCAGTGGAATTCGAACCCGAACATCTCTGGATATCAACAACTTGTGGCAAGCATCTGTGCGCACTCAGCCACACCCACACGTATAAATTTGCTTTCAAATGTTGAATATTGTCATGTTGTTAAGTACATACATGTATTCATACATATGTAAGCACATATATATAACATACATATGTACTTACACACATATTTCAATAAACATATTAACATACTCAATTAACATACACTACTTATTAACATTAAGATAGCATAATTACGTTAAGACTTCAGGAGAGTTAACACTCTCTGCATTGTTTTACTGTTACATACATATATTAAGTAAGCTGACGTTTAGCTGAAATTAGTCGAGAACGCAGAACGTATACTTAAACGCAGTCTGTATACGCAGAATTTTGTCGATTACTGGAGCCCTCAGTGTCGCTTACAACACTGTTGCCACTCATCAATGCCTTTTCATAAACTTACCCTTTCAACTACAATTTTACGTGCTATAATAGATTTTAGCTAAATATAAACTACTTAGTTTTCAACAAAAACCTTATTCAATAGTAAATTTCAAATATTTTAAACATATTTTGAATAGGAACTTATAACTTTTTTACCATCTGTATAACTGACGAAGTGGCAACCACCTAAAGAAGGAGAAATCAGCTGACACGGAAAAATCTAAATTCCGCACGGGCTACAACTACAGAAAAATTCTGCGGTGTTGAGTTTTCATTTACATGGCGCTTTGGTAAGACAGATCGTGTCAGCTGACTCGGGTTTACGTACCGGTAGGTTTACGTTCTTGACTAATTTCAGCTTTAATATTTATTACAAATATATTATGTAAGAAATAAAGAGTTCAGTTGTAAAGAAACATCGAAGAAGGTGGTTTAATTTCGCAACGTGACTATATCCATCAACACCACAGCACGCGATTTGTACGGATAAACATGTATGTACTATGTATGTATGTGTGTGATGTCACCGCTGTCAGAGCGGCGCTCTGCATGCTTGGGGTGCGTATATACACTTCAGTGTTGCCAGAACTTTTTGGGCCGACCGGCTAGATTGGCAAAAAAAAGCGGCTAAAAACGGCTAAAATGTTTTAGTGAAATTTCACATAGACTCTGGCAAAAAACGGCTAAAATGTTTTAGTGAAAATTCACATGCTTTATTTAAATAAATCGCAAGAAACGAAAGACTAGTTAACACCATTAATTTATATCGAGTGTATATTCCTCATCATCAAATGAATCACTATTGTATATATCACCTGAATTCATTAATTTTAAGAGCTCGTCATCTACAGTAAAATTATGGCAGCATTTTTCTTCACGTTTTAAACCGTATCTTATATATAAAATAGCGTTTAACGTTTTAACGCACATTGGATTTCTTTGCTTAGTTTTTATTATATTCATTGAACTAAATATTCGCTCTACTTCTGCATTACTTATAGGCAAAACAAGAAAACTAAAAACTAGGTTGCAAAGGTCAGCAAAAGGGTTTTCTCCTAGGGCATTTCGAAATTGATAAACTTCGGCCCAAAATTTTACAGTTGAGTCTAAACTACTCCAGGTATGTAACGTTAACCGTTGCCATTGCATCTCTATGGATGTTATTTCGTCGGCATTATATTTGTGGTTTTGTTGCTGTAGTTGAACAAATACTTTTGGTTTAATTACTCCTAATGCATTTCCAACCGAAAAAAGTAAATTTTTTTAGTGTGGCAATATTTGTAGGGAGGCGTTGGCGTAATTCCTTTATTAAAGTTATAATAAAAACCACTAGGGCTAAAAACGGCTAACTTTTTTTTACAAACCGGCTAACAAACCGGCTGCCGGCTAGATCGAATTTTCTCTGGCTAGTTGCTATCAAAACCGGCTAAATCTAGCCGGAAAACGGCTAAAATGGCAACGCTGATACACTTACATATTCATACTCAGATGTGAACGGTCAAATACGTGCGTAATAAATTTTGTATGAAAATATAATTTTTGAATACGAACATTTTTAAACGATAATCAAATATAAAATATTCATTTTTACTATGCATTATTTCCTCAGTGTATCAATGCTTCGTAAATGGGTTTTGTACCAAACCGATATTACTACTAGCATCAGAAAAATAATCTGCCAGAGATTTCAGCTTATTGACTAAGTGCCCAGTTATGTCATTTCATATTTCATTTAGCATTTCATCGCGTTCATTAGAAAAAAAAACTATCAAGCGCAAGCTCAACGCTCTTATGCAGGTATGTCACTCAGTACGGCGATCATACTAACTACGTCTACATATCGTCGGTCCCTACGAAGACTAGCACATTTCACTATTAGCGTGGAAGACTAGCACATTTCATTATTCGCGTCGAAAAGTAGCACATTTAAGATTTTTGCGTGGAAGAGTAGCATATTTAAGGTTTAAAGTAAATCATAGAAGCACAATTTATATTGGAAATCCAAGTGCTTATTTTATATTTCTATAATTGTATTATAAAATTCATGAAATTCAAACGGTATTTGCCGAAGATCATCCACTTTTCTATTTTAATGAAAATTCTTAAAAATAAATAAATAAACATAGTGGAAAACAATATCAGTTTGAAATGAGGTGCTCTTGATATGACTGCATGCTATAAATAGATTCCCTGCGGAAGACGCAAATATGCATCGAAAAAATTTGGAGGAAAATAAACGATTATTTTATTTGTAATAAAAGACCGAAAAGCTCCATACAAAACATTAAACTTTCGGCTTAGTCGTGGAGAAATAATTATAAAATACCTGTATGTTTGGTTTTTGTACGACTGCTAGTACCACTTTATAGAAATTCGCTACTCTTCCACGCGAGAATCTGAAAAGTGCCACTTTTCGACGCGAATAATGAAATGTGCTAGTCTTCGACGCGAATTGTGCAACGTGCTAATCTTCCACGGTAATTTTAGATGTGCTACTCTTCGCTGGGAGCGTCGATATGTACACTTTTACAGAACTTTTGTTTCCGGGTGCAACTCAAACCGACCGCCGTGCTTATTCATACCAAAATTAATTTCGCTGAACCTCACAGAGTTCTCTACGGCAGGCTTTCCCAAAGTGGGTGCCGCGAGCGTATGCCTGGGGTGCCGCTAGTGGCTAGAGTATACTAGTGGTGCGGGCAAATTCTTTAAACTTTCCATACACAACGCAAGCGGTTTGATCAAACTTCAACATGGCGGCCAGAAAACCAAAAAATTTTGATTTTTATTAAAATGACCTTCAGCGGCTCGTCAAACCCCGTACACAACACAAATGACTCGCAGCAAAGGAATATGTATTTCGCTTCATTTTTAAACCGCTTGTCAACGAAAAATTGAATCAGAAAATTTAGAAAAATTGCCGAAAACGTACCCTTTTCACAACCACTTTCGGCAATTTTTTAGACCTAACCTGCATTTCATCCACTTTTCTTCTTGTTTTCGGATGAATTTTCGGATTTTTTGCTGGCTAGGCTGTTCTCGTAACAAGCGCGGCAGCTTCGCGCACCTGTATATTTTACTTATTCTTTGGAACTTCACAATCACACTGTGAAAGAGCGCACCAACACGATTTTAGAAGCAGTCTTCTCGTGTTATTGAGGTAACCATTCGCAATTCAAATCGAAGAAGAACTTTTGATGAGCGAAGTACTTGAGACTTAAACCACTAGCGACGAAATTTTTACAGCTATCGCCAAATTTGTACAGAAAAATGGTTTGAAATGGAGCAAGTGTGCGGTTACTTGTAGTGGTTGGAAAAACGAAAGGAGCGATGTCTAGGATGAAGCTAGAGGCAGAAAACGCCACGAGAGGTCACTGTATGATCCGTCGATATAACCTGGCGACTAGAAAGATGCCGCCACTAGATTTAAAACCCGTATTGGATGACGCTACGAATGTATGTAACAGAAGCCTGCGAAATTAAAATACATATTTGGTTTTATTATATAACGTCGAGATTTTTTTATTGGTGACATGTATATTTTAGAATTTCTAGAAATTTGCATGAAAACCCCATAGATAAACAAAGTAAATCAGAAAAACGTATGTAACTTCGAAGTTAACGCTAAGAAAAATTGATAAATGTTATTTTGTTAGCGTTATGCCATTACCAGCGTTAACTTGGAAGCGTTAAAAAAAAACATTGTCGAATATTTTGCCAACATTGACTATGAGGATGTCTACAGCTGGATAACAAATCCGTTTTCATGTGACCCGAAAAGCAAACCTACTGAGATGACATATTGAGCTTTTGAAAGCCTTCTGGATATCAGTGAAGACAGCACTTTGAATATTAAATACTACGAAGGGAGCCAAGAGAGTTCTGGATGCAAGTGTATGCACTGGTGTTGGCAAGATTGCATGAAAAATACTAATGACTTTTACTTTTACATTTCTATGTGAGACTGCATTTTCAACAAATGCTTACATAAACAAGTG